CTCGCCTATAACGTTTTTCTCTGCTCTTGGCATACTGACCTAGAATGCTGTCCTACATCTTAGTGGAGTGTTTCTTTTTAATAGTCTTCATTTGGGAAAATTCAGTTGCCCATCCAAACAACAGCAAAAAAAAAAAAAAAAAAAAAATCATCCTATTTTTTATGGCAAAAAATTGGTGGGGGGGAGTGTTCACATGGGAACAGATGCTGTTTTTTAAAAAAGTATTTTCACTGAAAGTTTGAACAACAATAATAAGAACTAATACTAACTAAAACAGAATGAAAACAAGAAAGGGAAAGAAACAAGGAAAAAGTTAAATGTGCAGAAAGAAAAGGAAGTAGAAGAAAAGTAGAAAGAAGAAAAAGAAATATAAAGTCTTCTTTCTATCATCTATCCTGTCTGATCATCAAAACCATAAATCATAACTTCAGTCTTTCCTTTTTATGCAAAAAGTTCACAAGGGGTTTTGGGTCACCAATAAAGTGGTACTTCCAATGTAAGCTACTGGATCTCATTCATGGATTGCCCCAGAACTATGTAGAACAAATGGGGAAGCTAACCATCAGATTGCAAGAACACACATTCAATTTTGCACTATTAGGATTGTTGGACGAACAGGTACAAAAATAGCCAGGGAATTGATTGCAGCCTGGGAAACAATAAACAGTAAACAGATTTACCATCAGCTTATCAATTATTTAGCGACCAAGACAGCACAAGGAAACAATAGCCAAAAGCTTAATAGTCACCCATCAACATCCCAATCAACAACTAAAAAGCCACACACAACCAGGCACATATAAATACCATGCACACAATAGCTCAAAGCAGGCATTCTGAAAGAAAGAACATTCTTTGTTGTGTTTTTTTTATGACGTTTTTGATGTTAGGTGTCCATTTTAGGCCTTATGATAGAACCTAGAAATTTGAAGGTCTCTACTGTTGATACTGTGTTGTCTAGTATTGTAAGAGGTGGTAGTATGGGAGGGTTTCTCCTAAAGTCTACCACCATTTCTACTATTTTGAGTGTGTTCAGTTTCAGATTGTTCCGGTCACACCACGAGACAAGTTGTACAACCTCCTGTCTGTATGAGGATTTGTCATCTCAAATGAGACGACAAATGTTGTATCATCTGCGAACTTCAGTATTTTAACAGATGGATCATTTGAGATGCACTCATTGGTATATAGGGAGAAGAATAGTGGAGAAAGCACACAGCCTTGTGTGCTAATTAGCCTTGCTAATTGTACAGGTATCAGATGTGATTCTGCCTAGTTTCATCTGCTGCTTCCTGTCTGTTAGGAAGCTTATGATCCACTTAGAAGTGTGTTCAGGTACTGCTAGCTGATTTAGTTTAGTTAGAAGAATGTCTGGAATGATGAATTAAAGTCTACAAAGAGGACTCTTGTATAGGTATTTGGAGATTCAAGGTGTTACAGGATGTAGTGCAGAGCCATATTAACAGCATCATCTGTCGATCTATTTGCTCGGTATGCAAATTACATGGGGTCTAATAGTGGATCCATGATGGTTTTCAGGTGGGGCAGCACTAGCCTTTCAAAGGTTTCATAACTACAGATGTTAGAGTAACTGGTCTGTAGTCATTCAGTTCGTTGATGGAGGGCTTCTTTGGCACTGGGATGATAGTAGAGTTTTTGAAGCAAGAAGGAACAAAGCACATCTCTAGTGATTTTATTGAAGATTTGGATGAAGATGGGAGCCAATTGTTCAGCACAGACTTTTAAACAAGAAGGTGTTATCTTGTCTGAGCCTGGTGCTTTTCCTGGCTTTTGTCTGAGAAATAGATCTTGCACTTCTTTTTCTGAGGTTGTGAACCCAATGGGTTGGGGACAGTTGTGGGAGGTTTAGCTGTTGTTGGTGTGTTTGAGATGTCAGTTGTAGGAGGCTTGGCTGTTGTTGGTATGTCTGAGATGGGAGTTGTGGAGATAGGTAGGTGGCTGTAGTTTCCTTTCAAACCTGCAGTAAAACACATTCAGGTCATCTGCTAGTTGTTGGTTTCCTCTGTCTGGAAGGAGGTTTGCTCTAGCCAGTAATGTTTTTAAGAATTTTCCACATATTTGCTGGTTCATTTGTTGAGAACTGATTCCTTAACTTTTCAGAGTAGCTTCTTTTTTGTTGCTCTGATCTCTCTTGTTAAGACATTTCTGGCCAGATTGTACAGCATTCTATCACCTTTTCTTAGGTTTTCTCTTTGGAACGACATAGCTGCTTAAGTTAGTTGTGAGCCAAGGTTTATTGTTACTGTATATTTGCAGGTTCCTGATCGGTACACATAGGTCTTCACAGAAGCTGACATATGATGTTACAGTATCTGTGAGCTCATCTAGGTCTGCAGAAGTATCTTTGAAAACATTCCAATCAATGCAATTAAGGCAAGCCTGTAGCTTTAGTTTTGCCTCCTCAGTCCACTGATTAAAATGTAGGTTTTGTGGTTTTAAGTCTTTGTAGGCAGGTACAAGGTGAATCGTGCAGTGATCTGAGTGTCCCACAGCTGCTTGTGGTAAAGACCTATAAGCATCTTTTACTGTTGTGTAACAATGGTCTAAAGTATTTTTGCCTCTGGTGGGACAATTGACATGCTAGAAATATTTTGGGAGCTCTTTCCTTAAATTTGCTTGATTGAAATCTCCAAAAATGATGGGATGGGAATCTGGATGTTTGGCTTCAGCCTCCATAATGTGGTCAGCTAGAGTTCGTAAAGCTTTGTTTACACAAGCTTGTGGAGGAACATACATAGCTATTAGGAGGAGAATTCCTGTGGAGAATAAAATGGTTTGCGGTTGATATGTAAAGACCAGTGGTGGGATTCAAATTTTGTAACAAATGGTTCCGTGGGCGTGGTCATGTGACTAGAGGAGGTGGGTGCTGCGCCCCCCTCCATTTTTTGCCTTCCTGGACCTCAGGGAAGCCTGGGCGAAGCAGTAAGTAAGCAAGGGGAATCCCGGCACAGCTGATCATAGGAACAGTTGATTGTCAGGAGGGAAAAAGAAAGAAATGGCTTAACGAGTGATTGGGCAGGGAAGAACACAGTCAGTGATGTCAGGCATGCATGCAATATTGCGCATGCGCGATAAGGGTTGACTAGGCAGGGAGAAGAGGGGCGGACGGAGAGGGGCGGGGCCAGCCAGAGGCACGGTTTGCCGGTTCTCTGAACTGCACAGAATCATAATACCTGGTTCTATAGAAATGGTCTGAACTGGTAGAATCCCACCCCTGGTAAAGACTTAAGTTTTTATCACAGAATTTATATATTATAGTTATATGCTGAGGCCACCTGTTGTTGATATATAAACATTAGCCTCCACCCTTCTTTTTACCTGATATTTCTGCAATTCTGCCTGATCTAAATATCTGAAATCATGATATATTTATGCTGTTGTCGTGAATTTCTGCATTAAGCCAGGTTTCAGTGAAACAGAGAACTGCTGAGTTGTAGAACTCAGAATTGCACCTATTTAAAAGAATTTCATCCATCTTATTTGCAAGTGAGCATATATTAGTTAGAAAGATTGAAGGGAAAGGGGATTTCCCCCCCTATTCTTCTGTCTATTCAAGATTCCTGCCCTTTTACCTTGTCACCTTTTCCTGGCACTGCCACTTCTTTCCTTTGTTTGTTATAATCCATAGCTCGGGGGAATTTTCCTCCATGTTTGCAAAGAAAAGAGGGGGTGAAGTACCAGAAAGCTGTTCCTTAAAGAAACGTTGCCCAATTCTTAGCAGATTGTCTCGTGAGTATGAAATCCATAGTGAATCACAGAGAATAATAATAATAAAAAATATATTAGCATTTCACCAAGACAACCGTTGGCTGTGCCATCTAGCTATTCTCTGGAATTCTACATTCAATTGGGTGTATCTTTCTCTTTCTCCCTTGCCTTTCACGTCACTTCTTTCCTCAACTATTTGTAAAGCTTCCTCAGACAGCCATTTTGCTTTCTTGCATTTCTTTTTCTTTGGGATGGTTTTAGTTGCTACCTCTTGTACCATGTTGCGAACCTCCGTCCACAGTTCTTCAGGCACTCTGTCTATCAGATCTAATTCCTTAAATCTATTTGTCATCTCTAATGTATCTCTACAGGGATATGATTTAGTTCATACCTGAGTTTCCTAGTGCTTTTCCCTACTTTCTTCAATTTAAGCCTAAATATTGCAACGAGAAGCTCATGATCTGAGCCACAGTCAGCTCCTGGTCTTATTTTTACTGACTGTATAGAGCTTCTCCATCTTTGGCTGCAGAGCACATAGTCAGTCTGATTTCTGTGTTGACCACCTGGTGATGTCCATGTGTAGAGTGGTCTCTTGGGTTGTTGGAAAAGAGTGTTTGCTATGACCATTGTATTCTCTTGACAAAATTCTACCAGCCTGTGGCCTGCTTCATTTTGTAC